ATACCATGCTATCACAAAATTTAACAGCCAATTATTCTTATGTAATATTGTCCCCTGAACCAGAAAATACCGTAAAAAATTATGAAAGTGGAGCAGTTTTTGAGATATAGTCAATTCCATATTAAATGGAAAATTGACTATTTCTCAAAAACTGTTCTACTTTTTGAACTTTTAGGATTCAGGGGACAATTTTACATAAGAATTGGCTGTTAAATTTTGGGATACCATGGTATTCCATGCTTAACCATGGTACAAGTGAAAAAGCAGCCACTTATAACTATTAAATTAGTCATTTTTGACTAATTCATTTTTAGAGAGATAGTAATTTTATCTCTAGAAATAAAAACATGAACTTAAATTTAAGTAAATATATAGTAAAAAGTATTATATTATATATAATGTAATTTATGGGCGTAGTCAGGGGTGGTTGTGGGGTTTGACCCCCCTTCCAATATGTGAGAAACAGTTGTGTTTTAAGATATTTTTAGAAATTTTAGCAAGTTTATGATCTTAATAGTTTCATTTTACTTATAAATTTTACCAACCCCCCCCCAATTTTTTTCTACCTACGCGCCTGATGTAATTATAAATATGTATACATATTTATAATTACATATACACATCTATATTATTAACTTTTCATGCAAAATTAAATCTAACCTATTTTTATAACAAAAATATAAATTTATTATAATTATAATACCATCAAGGACCTTCACCTCCAAACTAAACATTCACACAAAAAAAGAAACAGGAAACGATAAAAATGGACACATTTGCCTGCCAACTCAGATAATTATAATTAAAAGCAGAAAACTCAATTTTAATTAGCTAATTGAAATCATTATAAAAATGGTAATAAAGTAAAAAATTGTAAACTTTTATTATGCATGGAAAGAAATTCCCATAGGCTAAAATAAATATGATTGTTTAATTTAAAATCTATTAACCATATAAATATCATTTAATAAAAAGCATAAAGAACAGTCCCTAATTCATAATAATAATAATAATAATAATAATAATAATTCATAATATAATAGCTTTGTAATGTTTTTCAAATATTCTGTGGACCCAAACATTTTCTACAAGTAAAAAAGAAATAATCGTCCCCCGAAAAATAATTATTAACGTATTCGAATTTTGACGATATTTTTTTAACTTTTTTGTTATTGTTTTTTATAAAAAATTCAATGAAAACAAAAAATGCGTTTTTTTTTTTGGTCTTTTTATTTCAAATTTGATATAAGGTGGCATAAATTTATATGTTAGGACGAATTCCCACATTACTTTAAAATTAAAAAATGTGGGGACATTTCCACATTACCATACAATTTTAAAATTATTTAAAATTTTAACATTTTCCAAAAATTCTGAAAAAAAAAACTGAAAAACTCATACAGTTTTACAAAATATGTAAAAATTTATTATATTTGATTTAATGCGACAAAACAAATTCTCACATTTTTATTAAAAAAAAATAGTGGGCTTGGTGACCTGACCGAACCATTTATCTAAGTCTCCTTTATTATTATTACGTACTTTGTTTGGAATGGAAATTCGTGGGAATTTTTTTATCGCAGCCTATTATGTTCGAAATTGTCGTAATATGTCGTTTAACAATTGCCTTATTTATTTTATCTTTTCACTCAAATGTAAGGCTGTTAGCCAATTTAGCACTTTAATGGATTGTGATTTTTATTTATTTAAGTTTTCGGGCTAATCAGGGGAAATTATTTTAAACAAAAAATAGCAGTTTTAAAAAACTAAACACACGCTTTAACGCACTAAAATATTATATGCTAGTTTACTTAAAATATTTTGTTCTAATAATAAACTTCTTAACGTTCAATTACTATGCCTAAAAGCATGTACTTTATTGTATTTTAAGAAAGCGCCCTTTTATAAATTTATTTATAATTTTTTATAGAAATTAGAATGACCTTACGTATTCTGCTCGACAAACATTTTTATTTGCAGTCATATTGGATTTACCAACACTCGTCAAAAGCTTTTATTTGGTACCTATGTCAAAGAGGTTGTGAATATAATATACCATATTATGGTAATCTGCCTCTTGGCAGGTAAAGAGTGTTATAAAATCTAGCGTCCCTTGGCCATCAATCCAACAATCGAGTTTTCAAGAAATAATTATTTAAATTCAGTGGCAAACGTCAATCTAAATAAGTAAGCAATTAGGTTGGGACACACTGTCGAAAATCATTGTAAAACTACTTCTGTTATAGAGATTAGTCACTAAAAAAAACCATACCGCCCTAAAAACTATTTTTGCTCTCAACTTTTTCATAAAAATTAATAAATTCTCTTGGTAGCATGACGTTATCGTACACTGAGAAAAAAATGGGACAAATAAACTGTGTAGCTAATACTTTTATTAATAGTGAATATATTGTTTATTACCTCTAAATAGTCGAAATAATAACAATAAATATACTTTAGTAAAACTTTATGTGTCGGGAATAAAAATATATTTAGGATAAATAAACTGTACCCTTGTCCCATATTTAAATATTTTTTTTATTTGGGAGCAATAAACTTTTTTCTCAGTGTATATTGGTAGGTATAATAAGCGTGTCAAGTTTTACGAATAAAGTATTTGCAAAAATAAGAATCCTAACATAACCAAATTCTTTGACAGTTATAATCTTTGATATACGCTAAAGAAGCATCGCTATAGCGATAAAAATCAACTTTGTGAAGAATGTCGCTTTATTAGATATTTTTAACATTTTCCGGCCTTATTCACAAAGATTTTCTACGATGATAACGTCCACCTGGTGGCCACACTATAGTGTGGCCACCAGGTGGACGTTATCATCGTAGAAAATCTTTGTGAATAAGGCCGGAAAATGTTAAAAATATCTAATAAAGCGACATTCTTCACGAATTTGATTTTTATAAATTTTGTGGTCTGCTTTGATTTAAGGTAGTCCCATAAGAAATAATCAAGAGGGATGTTTTCTGGAAATTTTACTGGCCACTCTATCGGTCTGGGAATTGGGAAATTGCCTTTATGAGGATTTTCTCTGCTCCAGTATAAACAATTTTGACGGTTGACTGTATTATTTAAACAGAAGGTAGCTTTGTCCGAAAAAAGTATTTTAGAAGAAAAGTGTGGATTATTGTTACATTAATACATCATAAGAGGTGTGTTCAGAAAATAACGGGAATTGTTAAATTTCGGGGGTTCGGAGGGTCCGGTGCTCATAAAATTTTCTTTATTATGTTGGTATACATGCCCCCGAAGTATGATAAAAACTTAAGCTGTTTTCATTGTTTACTTTGTCTGTGGCAGCCGCTAAGGTTAAACGTGTTCGTTCGTTAAAAGAAATGGATCAAAGAATTTGTATCCAATTTTGCTTAAAAAATGAAATAAATTCTGTGAAATGTTAACAAAAGCCTATAGTGAGTCTGCTATAAGTAAAACAAGAGTTTACAAGTGGTATAAGAGTTTCCAAGATGGCCGTGAAGACGTTGAAGATGACCAACGCCCCGAACGCACAAGCACTTTAACAACCGATAAAAACATGGAAAAAGTGGAAGAAATGGATATAAACCATCAGAGAAGTCGCTGATGATGTTGGTATATCGATTGGCTTATCCCATGAAATTTTTTCGAATGTTTTGGGTATGAAACGCGTTGCAGCAAAATTTGTTCTAAAATTGTTAAATTTTAAACAAAATTTTTGGCCAAAAACAATACTGCAATGATGCCCCAGCCTCCATATTCGCCAGACATGCCTCTATCTGACTTTTTTGTATTCCCAAAAATAAAGACAACCTTAAAGGGCCGTCGTTTTGCAAGCATAGATGACATTAAAAGCGCATCGCTGAAAGAACTAAAGGCTATCCCAAAGATCGAGTTTTAGAAGTGTTTCGAGTATTGGAAGAAGATCTGGCACATGTGCATAATATCCAATGGGGACTATTTTGAAGACGACAACATTAATGTAGACGAATAAATAAATATTTGTTTCAAAAAAAGAAAATTCCCGATATTTTCTGAACACACCTCGTACAACAAAGTTTCACAAAATTGTAGTCTACGGTCCAGATCATCTTCGTAAATTTCCTGCACTATTCTAATTTTGTATGGTTGGTACTTTTCTTTCTTTATAAGACGTAATACTGAGCATTGGCTGACTTGACTTTCAGCTCCGACTAGGCTAAAAGCACTGTAAGGATCTTCTTCCACAGGTAACAAAATGTCAATTTTAGTGTCTTCTCTAATACTCGGACGGCCAGGTTTTGGAATATCTTTGACATGTCCAGTCTCTGAATTTCCGTTCAATTTTACTAACCATATATAGGACGAGTAATAATAGGTCGAGCTGAATACTTTGCATTATACAAATTGCAAACTTCTTGTTGTGTTTTAATTTAATTTTCACATCCATATCCCATTATATATAATTAAAGATGGGATATTTAGGTACTAAAAACTGAAAAATAGGTAACCAAAAAGGTACTAAAAAAGTATTTTAGGTTTAAAGCAAAAACCTCCAAAAAAGGTGAAAACAAGTTAGGTTCATATAAAAGAAAATCTTTTAAAACACATTTTAGCATTATTGGTTTTCAAATAGTTACATCGGTAGAAAAAAGGTAAAATAACTAAAATCCCATCTCTAATGATAATTATTATAATATTTTGAGAAAGTTTATGAATTTTTCATAATCTATTCGAATCTCAAAAACTCAAGTTTTTAAAAAACGACTAGAAGAAACAGTTGTAACTAATAGTTTTATTAAATGTGTATACATAACCAAACGTGTAAAAATCTAATTTCAATGTTTGTGAATAAACCACATTCACAGCCGTCTTCAAACGCGTCTTTAAATTAAAAATTTAACGTAGATTGTTGCCGGAAAAGTAATTCATCAAAAATGTATGCCCTTGAATCCCACCAAAGAAATCCTCGCAGCACTTTACCAAAAAAAAGTTTCTTTCATAAAAACCGCTTGTGTATTTCTCGTTCCAGATACAGCAGCGGTGGAGACGGCGGATATTACCGCCCACGGGACCCATACGACGGCGTTGGCGGCGGCTATCGAGGCACTAGTTATTTATACGGAAGACCGTCATCAACCACCACCGATCGGCCTACAAGCTCCAATAACAGTAGCGGCGGCTCTGTCACACAAACCGCCCCCCTTCAACAGGAAACTGCCTCAGGATAAACACGCAGTATAATTTTGCATTTCTTTTATGGTTTTAATTTATGTATTATGGAATTTGGAACATTTGGGTACAAACAGAATTTAAATCGCATTTAGCGTTATCGAGATATTAAAAAAATGATTTTAGTTAGCCAATAGTTCATTTTTTTATTGAAAATTACATACATTCATTAAAACCATAAAAAATTAAATTAAGAAAAATTTTAATTTACATCATATAGATTTGCAATATAAAATAGGACACCGTTTTAAACATTAACCATACAAGGTGTGAGCTAAATAAGTCTTTTCGTCTGTATCTTGACTTGTACTAAAATTCCTAACACCTTGTATGTTAATAAAATTAGTGGGCATAATGACATATTTTGTGATAAAATATGTTTTTACTTAATAAACGATGTCCTATTAATAAAATTAGTGGGCATAATGACATATTTTGTGATAAAATATGTTTTTACTTAATAAACGATGTCCTATTTAATAAAACATATTTAGTAATAATTCCCTAGATAATTTATTATGTTTAACGTTAACCCCTAAATAAGTGTATTATAGACTATAAATAAAAAATATGAAAATACAGTGTGTAAGATTTCACCATTTTAGTTAATCGTTTAGTTTTTTACATAATGTGATTTTTATTTTTCATAAAGGTTTCAGCAATATTTACTGCCAATAGAATTATAAAGCATTTTTTATGTTTAATATACCAAAGACAATAATAATAATAAAACCATAAATATTTCAAAAACAAAATATGTTTTAATTATACCTTATGAGCCCCCCGCACAATAAATTACGTGTAATTTTAGGTATATATAGTTTATTTTATTTAAGAATATTTTCTTATAGAGTGTTGCCATGGCTTCTAAAAAGAAATATACAAACTGACATTAGTATATTAAAGAACTAATGTCATAAGACGTCATTTTGTCGCACGTGGAAAATTTATAATATAATATATAATTTGTAATGGATGAGTGCGACAAAAAAATCTATAAAAAAAACTAATTTTATACCTTAAATTTAATTTATGATTTTTGGCTTTAGTTAAAGGTCCAACTTTTAAATTTGGCAAAAAATTGTAAAACCATAATTTAAAAAATATTATAAGGGAATATTATAATATAATAATTACACAGTACGACAAAGCTTTATTTTTTTCCCTCCCATGAAAAATTTCTATAGATTTTGAAAATAGACTTAAAAAATTGATAAACGTGTCTCGGCGTTTTTTTCAGATCACGTAATTTTTTTTAAGTGCGATCCAATAAAATATTATCCAGTGGATAATATCCACCGTATTCGGCACATTCGTTCGTGGTCCATTGATAGTTTCAGCAATATTTACTGCCAAGAGAATTATAAAGCATTTTTTATGTTTAATATACCAAAGACAATAATAATAATAAAACCATAAATATTTCAAAAACAAAATATGTTTTAATTATACCTTATGAGCCCCCCGCACAATAAATTACGTGTAATTTTAGGTATATATAGTTTATTTTATTTAAGAATATTTTCTTATAGAGTGTTGCCATGGCTTCTAAAAAGAAATATACAAACTGACATTAGTATATTAAAGAACTAATGTCATAAGACGTCATTTTGTCGCACGTGGAAAATTTATAATATTATATATAATTTGTAATGGATGAGTGCGACAAAAAAATCTATAAAAAAACTAATTTTATACCTTAAATTTAATTTATGATTTTTGGCTTTAGTTAAAGGTCCAACTTTTAAATTTGGCAAAAAATTGTAAAACCATAATTTAAAAAATATTATAAGGGAATATTATAATATAATAATTACACAGTACGACAAAGCTTTATTTTTTTCCCTCCCATGAAAAATTTCTATAGATTTTGAAAATAGACTTAAAAAATTGATAAACGTGTCTCGGCGTTTTTTTCAGATCACGTAATTTTTTTTAAGTGCGATCCAATAAAATATTATCCAGTGGATAATATCCACCGTATTCGGCACATTCGTTTGTGGTCCATTAATAGTTTCTGAGGAACGGCAAAAGATATCGATTTGAAATTTTTAAAGCGTTTATAATCCAATTAGGCCTATTTTTCTAAAATATTTTAAACAAAATTCCACTTCCGGCTTGACATAAACTTTGTTATTTTAAACGGAACACCCCATTTATTATTACATTTTTAAATTCTACATCAAATTTTGAGTAAAATTACTGTACCATGTCCTATACCTAGAGTAAATAGTTTTGGAGTTATTAATTTTTTCCGTTAAAATATGACAAATGAGCGTCAATCAAAAATAGCCTATAACTTTCTTGCTATTAGGTTTGCAGAAATGGGGGTGGAATTTTTGGAATCTTAAAACATTGTTTAAAAGATTCCACACTGAAATAAATATATGTTTGTTATAGCAATGTATGTGGTAGTCCATATATGAAACATAAAATATATTTGCCTTAACCATATTATGTTAAAACTAAATATAAAAATGGTTAAGGTAAATATATTTTATGTTTCATATATGGACTACCACATACATTGCTATAACAAACATATATTTATTTCAGTGCACCAATTTCTTAACATACCGGATGTTACATTTAAAATAAGTTTTAATAAGTTATTTACGTTTTAAGTTAGCCCAATTTGCCCTGGGGTTTTTTGGGTAATTTGTTGAAAAATGTTAAAGAATTGACATGGAATTTTTTCTTTCTTAAATGTTTTAAGATTCCAAGCATTTTACCCCCATATCCGTAAACCTAATAGCAAACATCTAGAAAACTATTCACTTTAGGTATAGGGCATGGTATAGTAGTTTTACTAGGAATTTTATGTAGAATTTAAAAATGTAAAAATATATGGGGTGTTCTGTTTGAAATAACAAAGTTGATGTCACTTCCGGTCAAAACGGTTGCATTTTGTTCAAAATATTTAAAAAAAAATAGACTTAATGGATTATAAACGCTTTTAAATTTCAAATCTATATTTTTTCCGTTTTCCAGAAACTTCCAATGGACCACGAATGTGAAACACCATGTATATCAAGTGATGTTTTTAGGTTTTGATACCACTATAGATTCTAAAGCAATGTATAATCGTCAAACTAAAAGATCAAGATTTGTTTCCAACGTATTTAATATAAGATAAATACAAATCTGTTGTTTTATTAAAAAAAAATCAAAAATTAAAACCAGAAATATTTTTTTACCTAAAAAAATAAAATTGTTATTTTCTTTAAGTATAATTTTTGTATTATGTAAAAACATAAAATATTTGAAGAAAAAAAAGATTTATAAAAAATAAGGAATTAAAAATGTGTTTACATAGGTTAAAATAATAAGAATGGCTGTGTAAAAAAATTAAATGACGTGATTTCGTGAAACGGTAAAACACGGGTACGTTTTTTTAACCTTTATTTTTAAAATCTGTAAAAAAATTTCATGTGTTGTACTGTGTTATTATTATAACTTGATGTTTTTTATAATAAACGTGCATTTATATTTTCTTTAAGCCCTTCCTGGAAAAATTTAGATTTCAAGTTTTAAAGAGCTTTTTTTAGTGGGGTAAGTAGTAGGTATAAGAAATTAGGGTTGTCACCAAATAAATCAAATAAATCAAACCAATATAATCACCTGTTCGTAATCCAGTGTTGCCGGATCTTCTAGACGAGAATGACAGATTGATACTTTTGAAAAACCATAGTTGGACATGGTTTGTTATTGCAAACTGTGCGGTAAAAGTTGACAAAAATTTATATGGTACTTTTACAGGCGTAAGTGCATACGGGAAAAGTTTTTACGGATGGGTCAGCCATTTTTAAAATTTGATGACTGTTCCGAAGCAACTTTTGCCCGAATTTTGATATCCGGTAAACAAACAAAATTTGACGGAAAAATCGAAAAAAAATCATTTGATAAAGTTTGTAAAAAACGGCAAAAAAACTAAAAACGCAATAAAAAATAAAAAAAAAATATTTTTCATTAAACTATAGTTATATATATGGTTTACGTATTATGCGTAATAAGTATTACTTAATATAAATATATAAAATAAAAGAAAATACTAAATTTTATTTGTAATAATACGGTTATTGAAATATTTCCACAAAACGGTGGTTTTTGACCAGTGTGCAACCGCTTTAAAAACATTAATTAATTAATTTTTAAGGAGAATACACAAAAACGAATATTGTTATTTAATATTATACAGTGTATAGTTTGGCATCATTAAAATGTAAAATTTCAGGCTAAACAATAATAAACAAAACAAAATTGTTTACCTATAGTGATATTGACAACCCACGGCATTTCGAACAGACAATTAATAATATAAAATAACATAATTATCTTTTTAAAACTATAAGAGAATCTTAAACATGAGGAATACAAAACTGGATGAAAATTTTATCTTATATTTTCCTAAGAAAATTCTCATTATAAAGTTTTCCAGTATGAGATATGATTTTTGTCGTTGTTGACGTGTATCATATATCAAATACTTTATAAAATTTTCAATATAAGAATTTCCATCATTAATAACATGTTGTCGCATGTGACACGTTCTTGTAAAACTTTTTACATTCTTATGACAAAAGAGCAGACATGCCATATTTGATGGCTTATTTGAATATATTTCCAACCAAAACGGATTAAGTAAATAATCTGCATAGAGTTTTAAACACAAAACACTTATTTTGTTATATTCTATGCTCTTCGATATCCTAATCACAAAAATGTATTCTACTAGCAGAAGAAGCGGTTTTGTATAAGATTAGGAGAAATCCTTGTGTGGGTAAGTAATTAAGGCCTTGGACTTAATTTGAACTTAATTAAGTACCTATATTAAATATATTTTTCTACTCCCACCTTTAAAATGCCCTTTATAGTACATGTTTCCATGACACTAAGTGACCTTTTAACCATATATAATAATTTTCCAGTCAAAGTAAAAAAATTAAAAAATTTCTTTAAGTTTAACTTTAACCTTAAATAACTTTTAAATCAGTGAATTTATGAAAAAATCATATGAAAGCTTTTTTGTACAGCGCACACTGGAGTATGGATGCCTATCGAAGGGACAAAAAGGAAAAAACATACATTGTTAATTATGTTAGAAATCTAATGCAAAAATAAACTAAATACATTGCTTAAACTAGCGCAAGCAAAACTAGTAGGCTCTCACTTAAAACTGGCGGTGACAGCATGCCAAAGATATCAGTGTTGATTGAACGCTTTGCTGTCATAGTTACTCTAAATTTATTTTCAAAATTTCACAGCCATTTCAGGAAAAGCGAAGAGTGAACTTTTCCTGTTTTTGGGCAAAAATATATTTAGGTAAGCCATTAGATTCTTACCGTAATGGCACATACTAATTTAATATGTCTATTGATTTTATATAGAGCGTTGTTTGTCAGTATCGCAAATTAGAAGTTTTCTTTTAATTTTTGCTTATTTTGGCAGAGGTTATTGTTGTGTTCCGGGCGTTTCCGAAATGAATAGTTCATCACAGAATAATGTCCAATCATCGTTTATTATGAAACCGTAAAAAAAAATTGCTAATATTTGCTATTCCGTAAATCCCTGAATATAATGTTAAATGCAGTTAACACGTCATTTTTGCACAATACCAATGTATTAAATTATTTTGGTCAGCATA